AATAAATTTTTGATATTATCTCAGAAGGGAACTTTCAAATGTCTCCACTTTGTTTTCATAGAGGCCAAGGGTTTTCTTTATTTTGCTAACACTGCATCAAATAACTCAGATGTGCCATTTGAGGAATTCAGATTAAAAACAAAACTAGATCCATATTTATGCAATAAAGAAGCTGACAGAAATGCTTTGGTGATTATGCAGATATCTAGTTTAACATGTCTTGAAAGTGTTGACCTCAGTGATTCACATCTCATCCTTTTAAAGAAAAATTTACTTCACTTATTTTCTCAGTTTATAGTTATGCTTTTTATCTTACTTCCTGTGACCTCATTCATACTTTATGTGAGTCCTCTTGGGATAACAGAGATCATAGAACACATATCTTGTTTTCATTTATTCTACTCTTATCTTGGTTGTTAAAAATATGGTGGGGAAGAAAAAGGAGAATTAAAAAAAAGAAGGATAATGCCACTTGATCACACTCATCATGAAGGCCTGGTATTGTGGCTTACTCTCATCATGCATTTGCAACAAGTCATTCCTTTCCCTATCACTCTCCAACACGCTAAGGCAGTGGCTGTCATTCTGTCCCTGCTCTTCCTCCAGTCCTGCCCCCACTCACTCTCTGCAGGTAGCAGATGTCCCATTTGGTAGGTCTGTGCTGATAATCAGCAGTAGGTGAGGTGGTGAGCACTGGTTTTGGACCCCTGGTTATCTACATTGCCTAAACTTTAACTCTCTTGTTTAGGTCATGGACCACTTCAGTTCTCTGTCTGCAAGACAGCCTGCTCCTGAGCCATCCTGCTCCTGCTGGCATGAGCCAGCTGGTCTCCCATGACCTCGGAGCCATGGCCCGCAAGCAGAGTTTGCAGACAGAGAGAGACAAAGGCATGGCCAGACATCCCATCTACTGCCTGCCTGACCAGCCCTTAGGTGTGTGGCAAAGCCTCATTGCAGGAGTGTTTGCTCCTGTCACTGACACTCCTACTTAATCTACTGCTGAGAAACTCTAGTGTGGCAACTCTGCCTGCCAGAGGATGCTGCCAACAAAATCAGTAAAGATATACAGTTCACTTTTAGGCAAATGAATCTTGGGTTAAAATGAAAAGCACAGAAAAGTCACTTGTACTCCTATATACCTTTACTCCTTGCTACATAAACTGGAGCAAACTCTATATGCGTGATTTGAAGGAATTTCACATGAAGAAAGAAGGCTACAATCTGGTGGGTAAGTTAATACCATCCTGGTGAGGCCAGCTGGCACTGCCCATTGGCAGAAGTCCCTTTGTTTGCAGGAACCTGAACTATTAAATGCTCTTCATGAAATGGCTTCTTCCAGCTGTGCTGCTGCAGTGCCCTAAAAATGGAGAGCAGACAGCACTGCCACCTGCTGCTCCTAGGGATGTGGCTGTCATGCTCACCAAGGGCATCAAAGCTTTCCTTTAGAGTGCCAGAATATTCTGAGTTGGAAGACACCCACAAAGATCATTGAGTCTAATTCTTGAAGCTTGGATGCTAAAAGTTGGTATGTACTGTAAAAATACATTTACTGTACAAGTAAATGTTAAAAAAATTAAAAAATTTATGGTTGAAAATTGTTTACCATAAAATTAAATACCAACTTTGATCTTTGCAAAGCATCAGGTAATAACATAAGCTACCATTACGGTCCTGTCACAGTTCTAAAAAGAAAGCAAGCTGCCCTGCCACCCTGTTTTAGTTTAATGACATATATTGATGCTATTGTTTCTGGCTAGTTCAGTGTAGAGAATTGGGTTAGGAATTTACTGAAACTGCAGGCAATTAACCTCTCACCAGACTAAGGCTTTGTATTAACAATGCTGTCCTTAAGGAAAGGCATGATGGGAACAGACAAGAGGGATAGTGGTAAGAACAATATGCAAGAAAAATATGGTAAAATCCTATTGAAGTGCATGACCTAAAAGTGTTAGTGCATGTATTTACTCCTCTTCTGCATCACCTGTCCTATACAGCTGAAATTGTTAGCCTGAGTCTTACCCACCTTGTCTTTGATAAACACTATCAGAACTGCACTTAAAGCAACACTATTTTAAGGTCACATTAGAAACTATCACAACATTTGTAGTGCTAAAATGGTATTTTATTGGTAAAAGATAGTAGCTACTACAATTGCTATAAACTTTTGTGGAAATGGGGCACTGATGTTTGTGGCTGGCAAGAGCTGTGGTTCCTGCAAATAAATTCAGTCACAACAGACCTGAATAGTGAAGGATATCTAAAGTTTACTAAAAAGTTGGTGCTAATGAAGCTATACTGGGATTTTAACAGCCAGGCCTGTGTCCTTGAAGCTTTTGACACTTTAATAAAGAATTGGATTAGAATCTGTGATCTAACTATTTGAGTTGCCAGAAACTGACAAGGGGTGATGATTTTTTTCTTACAACAATGACTATGTAAATTTTAAAGTAACTGTACTATTTCAGAAATTAAATGTCAGATCTTCCCCCAGAAAGCATTTAGATGAAATACAGAAGTGCCTATGGAAAGACATGCATGCTGTGCAGCCAGTCACTCATCCTGGCTAAAGCTGCAGGGAACTGCAGCCACCAAATTGAGAGAGGCCAACATTTTAACTTCTATGTTTACATTTGCATGTTGATTTCACTGGGAGAGAGTCACTTCCTGGCTTTTGGAACACCACTTTTTTTTTGTGCTGGATTCTCAAGAAAACTGCTTTTCAGATTAAGAACAGTGCTTGGAACACGGTGCGGCGTTAACACGTGCTCACGCTGTGTCTCGCAGTGCTTTGAATCGGGATCATCCTTGCTTATCGAGTCAAGCTGTCAGCTGCTTCACTGCCGAGGTGTGTGAACACCACTCTGTAAGCCCATTCTTCTTCCCTGTTACAGTCCCTGCTCATGAATCATTCACATCCCTCAACCTGAACCCTGCTTTGCTGCTGCCTTCAGTAATTTTTATTTATGCCTGGAAATTCTTTGGGATGTCAAAAAGGAGCCGACTGAAACAAATGCATTCCAATGTATTTCTTTCCTCCTGCAGTGCAAATTCAGGCAGGTTAGCTTCCAGCACTGGCAGCTTGAACAAGAGTGGAGCAAAGGAATATTTCCCCAGCCAGATATGATTCTCAAATGTGAGAAAAGGACCAATACAGCATTACCTACTGGGCAGCCAGGTGCCTGGCATTTCCCAACTGAGGTGTATTTAACTGGGTCCTCATTTGGATGCATCAGGCTAGTAGGTTTGTGAGTGAAAGCACTATGAACATACTCAGAGTCCTTTTCTAAGGAAAACTGCTATGAATCTTAACACAAATATTGAACCTGTTATTCCCAGACCAGTTAGAATGCACAACACACCAAATACTACTATTACTTCCAGTAATCAAGAAATCATTGAATATAACTAGGGGTTATATATATATATATATATATATATGTAAGCTTCATAGTTTATATATATATATATAAACTTCATGGTTTATATATATATATATATAAGCTATGAAGTTCAACCTAAGTAAAGATGGAGAGTAGAAGTTAAGAAAAAAATATATGGAGTAAATTTGTACATATTTTCTTAGTCACACCGTGTTAGCAGACAAAACATGTTCAGGCTTCATGTGCATTTAACAGCATATTGTTTCTCACTCTGATACAGCAACTTGAAAGACTATAAGCGTAACTACAGTCTTCCTAGCTCAGGTGATAGATGTTTGTGCTTCAGGGGTAGGGATTAATGCATTAAATTAGTTATGCTTTCCTGAGCAGCAATTTGCCAGAAGAAGTGTGGATGTATTTGTGATTTGCATAACAAGGTTTGAAATAGTCACAGCTGAGGAAAATAGAACAGAATATTTCAGTTGGATGGGATCTACAATGATTACCTGGTCCAAGACAGTCAAACAGCTCCAATTAATCTAAGTGTAAGTTGTGTGGCTAAGACCACTAGTACGCTTTGTGTCCTCAACCAAGGATCTTTAGAATGTCATAAATTTTCTTATACAACCTTGTATTTTGTGCTCTGAGTAAGCTGAATGTTATACAGAAGAGGAATTTCTTAAATTCTACAAGAACACTCAAAATAAGATGTAGGTATACTGAATGGAACAAACCAGGTGTTAGCTTAATTTGGTGTGGTCTGTAAGGTTTAAATGACCAATAAGCTTACTGACAATACCTAGCTGAGATTAGTAAACAAAATTTTATTCTTCACAGAGGAAGCACAACATTAGCAAAACTGTTTTTGCTCAATGTATGGGGGAAAATAAAAGGTTTATGTAGAAGAATAAATTACATGAAGCAGGGAGAAACTACCCGGGTAGATGTTACAGTCAGTTTTTCAGCATATCAGTCACTATAGTATGTATAGATGAGGTTACCTTCATGTTTCCCAAACTGTATATCAAATACACACTGCTGGAATGGACCCAGCTCACTTCTGAAGAGCTCCTGTGGGTAGTATGATTACTTATACTAAATATAGTTAGACATATTTTTCCTCCCTATCGCTACCACAAGACCTTCTCCATTCCATTCATCTGCTCCTCCAGTCCATCCTGCTCTTGAGCCCTGTTCTGGATGAGTGACATGTAGCTAACTTGGCACTGTTGAGAATGTGACCTCCTGTACCTGCAAAGATGCCAACTCCTAGGGTCATGGGTAAGCACTTTCTTTGCCTTCACAAACATTTTCTTTCTACTACAAAGCAAAAAAACTCCAAACGGGTGTGTTGAATATATTCACTGGGGATGATGGAAAAAAGAAACAGCACAGTAAAAGGATGAAGGTAGAGGTTTCTTGGAAAAAGTAATCAGAACCTCCCCAATGAGTATGTGCCTACCTGTGTTCAGCTAGTAGTGACCCAAACATCATATTTGTCCACTAGAAATCAAAGAGAGCCACATCAGCCTTGACCTGGGGACAGAGGCTGAGAGGTTAAGAAGAGACATCACTTAGGTAGTTTACTGATGAGTATTTTCAAGTCACTCCACTATCAAACAGGTTTGAATAACCACATTTATTGTGAGTATTATATATATCAGTATTGTACATAGTATTAAATACATGGTTATTGTACTCCCCATAAACACTGAAAAGATGTGCCTGAGGGCTTATAAAATACAGAAATAATAACTCCATACTTCTTTTGCTTTTCCTTAGCTATATATTTTCTTCCTTTCTCCTCTTCCCTCTTAACAATCCTTATACTTGGCAGTTTAATTTTTTTTCCTCTTTCAGACTGTCAGTCACAACCAGTATCTTGACTTAAAAAGATCTTTTCTTATTTCAGAAGCTTTTTACTGTCACTATGACTGGAGGCTTTATGCTTATCTCCTGCTTCTCAGATAAGCTTCCCCTTCACTAAGATCCATCCTGTAATCTCAACCTATTTATATGTGATTTAACCTCCTTGAGATGAATAGATTTTTTCTGCTTGTTTTATTTGAAGGGATTTTATTTAAGGGACTCAGTTCTGATACAATCTAGATGCTTGGCATTCAGTTAAAAAATACAAATATTAATGAAGAAAGGTTTCCATTTTCTGAGAAAGGCATTTTGGCAAGAACTATACATACACAACACTCATGAAAAATTAAAAGGTGAAAATAAATAACCAATTTGCTTTGCATGGGCGTAACATTTTCCAGGCTAGCAAAACTTTGGGGCAACTATTGTCATGTTGCTGGCACAGGAAAGATAATTCCTCTGCTTAGTTAATAAGCAATTAATAAATAATTTTTTCCAACAGCTTGCAGTATACAAAAAGAAGAGAGCCTCTTAAAAATCTAATTCCTATATTCTCAAGGGCTTGAAGACTCTGTGGGCTGCTGGAATTAACTGGCTGTGATTTTTTGTATATCCAGATGTTTGCTTAATTAAAACTTCATGAAATCTAAACACACTCTTCATTCCATGTATCTCTTACATGTCTCTCAAACATTTATTCTGCTGATATATTTATTTTTAGTGATAATGTATTATTTGCATTTACAAACATGGATCATACATAGATGATATCTTACAGGAAATCCCTACAAAGCAGAGTAGTAATCTTTCTATTCAAGTGTAAACACTTGGAACAGGAAAGTACATTCAGAATTTTCTAGACACATGAATTGAATTCTATTTGGGCCTCTCCAAGAGGCTAAGAGCAAAATACATGCAGTGAACTTTTCTAAGAAGGAAGACAAGCTTGTCAAACTCACCTTAAAGCAAATAGAAGCAACCCTTAGTCTTTCTTTACAGGTAAGAAACAGATGCTTTTCTTTACTTTGGGCAATAACATCTCATTAGCACAGCACATCAGCAAGCTGGGAAACATCAGCTCTGCCTGATTAAGTTGATTCCAAGTTCCTTCAACCTTGGCTCAGCCCAAAGAAAAAATCAGGTTGGTTTATGCAGTGGACAACAGGTAGGACAAGTTCTGGAAACAGTGCTAAGGATAAGGGATGAAGGAAATGTTCTGGCAAAATCAATTTTGGCTCTAACAGAAGGCCGTCTGCTATCCCACCCTCTAGGCAGAGATTTTTGGCAGTTTAGGAGTGAATAATTTCCCCTATTAAGTAACTGAAATGTATTCTCTGTGACACATTATTTTACATAGCAGGTCAGGAAGGGTATCAGTGAATAGGAGGTCCAGCATCCCTTTCTGGCATGGGTTGAACAGCTGAGATACACTGCCTGCAGGAGCTAAAAGTATGTAATTACAGCCTTAGCTCACAGATGTCTTCACTGGCATGAACTCTAGTTATAGCCATTGATGACATGTACTTTGGCAAGGTCTTGACAGAACGGATGTTTTCCAGGATGTCTGGAGCAGCTAAGAGCTTGTGGAGCTGTACTCACCATGTAGGAGGCTCTGAGGCCAACGAGGAGAAACAAGTTTGAGTATGCTAACATAGAAGGTTCTCTCTTTATGTGTATAGACATAGTTTTTAATCTTCCCTTCTGTGAAAGTGAATAGCAATTCTCTAATGAGATTTCATTAATTTCATTTCAGCCTTTGTTGAGAGATGATGGAATCTGGTGGAGAGACACTTAACTGTGAAGCACAGTGAAAAGCTGGAACCACCTCTACTCAGAGCATCCTTCAGGACTGATACCCTGGGGGTACAAGAGCAAGTAGGGGACCCTAAAACACTGCACAAGCCTTGTGGACATTCCTTGACAGTTTAATACCATTCATTAATTTACATGGGGTGTGAAACCAGCAAGGTTTGACAGCAATAAGGTCAATTCTGTCAGCAGGGATACAAACTTGGGTCTCAGCAGAGCAAAAAACTAAACTAGTGCAAACATGTTTTTCTCAGGTAGTCAAGCAAGGTACCTAAGGTAGTAAAAAATAATTTACCAGCTTATCTATAGTAGAGTGCCTGCTGTGAGCTTTCACTACCCTTCATACCTCTGCAGATGCTATAAGCACCCCTGCTAAGGTTTTGATATTTCTTCTATTAGACATTACAAGATTTTTAAATTGTTTTCAACAGAAAAAGAAGGCAAGGGAACAAAGCAGCACATTAAATTTCTGAGTCTGTTGAAATGAACGACTGCATTTCATTTGCTTATTTTAATCTAACTTAAAGAGTTAATGTTAGTTAAACACAGCTTGCATTCCTACATAATGGAAGAAAGCAAAAGCAAATGCATTAATTACTGTTCACTGACCACAGAAATGATTTTGAAACATGCTCAATTAGTGAACAGCATATCTCAAATCACAGCAAAATAGAATACAAGAATTTGAAGCACACGATCACCAATGTCATTATTATTATCTATTTCACTTTTGAAGGATCACTCTTTTAAAAATAATAATTTTATTAATGCATTTTAAATTCCTTTTTTAAAAAACATATTTTTGTAAGAAAAGGGTGTAAGTAAGACCTGTAAATTAAAAAAAAAAAATATTAAAAGGCATTTTCCCTTAGATAGAATTCCTACCCAGGAATGATACCATCCTTGTGATTAACTTCTCAGAAAAAGAGACTTAGGAACAGCCCTTAACTTGCTCCTCTGCAAATCAATGCTCTTTAGATTGTATCCAAAAGCACAAAAAAATCTACCCCTTTAAAAACTATTTGAAGCCTGTCCAACCCTACAGGAAGGTAGGCTGGTAAGAAGGGGGAGTAGAGGCTGCTTTTAATTAGCTAGATAATGAGTTGTATTTTCCCTATTAGGAGAGCTCTTTTGCTGAATCGTCACACTGTTAAGTTCTAAGAGACAGCTTGAGGCTCTTGACTCATGCTGATGGTAATGTAGAAGATGGATGTAGTTTCCACTCGTGTTTTGCAGAGGCCTGGTTGACTTTCTGTTGTTGTTGTGGTAGAAGACAGGTCAGAATGCTATTTATTCACAGATAGGAGAATTGCTGACAGGAGATTTGAAGACATGACTGAAATGTTTCACAGAGATACGGAAGATTACTTCCAGAGAGCCCAAGCTCACAAAAAGAACTCTGATTTAAAGCTGCTCCATAGGGGTTGTGAGTAATTTAGCATAGGAGCAAAGCCTCACATGTTGTGCATATAAAATACCACACCACTGCATGTTATAAAATGACACAGCTGTTCTCTGCTCCTCTGGTATCAGGCAGGGCTGTAACTTCCTTATAGTGAACAAAAACCACAAGATCAATTATCACATTTTCCTAGATATCATCTGAAAAGAAGCAGCTGGGAGTATTTCCCCATTTGACATTAGGTGCACAGCCTCCTTTCTTGTGTTCTCCAAATTCAGTGATGCTCAAGATGTGTGTGGAAGGTGTCTCCTTCAGTGCTCTTGCTTACTGAGGCAGAAACTACCTGCAGGTCCCCACAACATTGAGAGGGTACATTTTGTCTTCTAACTTTCGCAAAGGTGCTTGAAGGAAATTAACACAGCTCTGACCTTTGCTAATTGCTCACTTGATTGTGTTTCTCAGTCACACTCTGTAGCTCTCTATCGGCCAAGGACACAGAATACACTGCTAATGTCTGTCCTCCTTCTTTCCCTCCCTCTTCTCCAGACTCTGCAGAGCATTGCTCTCACAAAATTATCCAAGGAAATGTCTGTAGCACCCTGTCAGGAGGAAAGTGCATGAGCCCTTGATGACTTTCTGAGGTCCCTGACAGCCTGTTATTCTGGTTCTTCAATATCTTTCGTGCTTGAATGTGCAGATTTCCACAGCAGCTGAATTTCCTAGAACATGCAGTTCAAGCTAAATGTACCCAGCTGTATATGCAAACAGAGACAAAACAATTTCTATGAACAGATATTCTCAGATGTAACTTCACAGGTAACATTCATTACAATTCACATGAATTATTGAAATCTATGAATGTATGCATTTATGTTCAACTAGATACAGTCTGTGGAACTGTCTTTAGAAGGAGTTGAATTCTTCTTCTGTCATTAGGTGGAATAATGCATAATTCAAGTTTTTGGAAATACTACTTGGTATCACCTGAGCATAATGCTGAGGCTGATAAATTCACTCTGAACAATGGTTCAGAAATGGGAAAGGTTTCAGCCTAATAGTCATTCATTTACTGTCAAAGTCAGACCTATGGAACTGCACACATTTTAGAGAGCATATAACACAAAGGATTCATGACTCTTAGGCAATATACTCTGCTGTGGGACTACTAGACTTTTTTCTGCATTGTCTAAACAAGACTGTGAAGCTTAAATGAGTGTATTTGAACCTCCAGTTCAGTTCTGTTCAGATCACTAACTCTTTTTGACAATTTTATGCAGAAGGCTAAATATTTAACTGAACTCAGTATTAAAATTCAAGCAATGCAGTCATTTGCAATTAGGTTTTTTCTAAGCAATATTGTATCACTTCACATAGCAAAGACTGCTAGAAGAAATAATAAACCAACACTTTTAGTTTGGAACAGTGATAAAATATGTTCTTGCTCTACTAAGTTTCTCACGAAGAAGCTGAATACATAATAGTTTACATCTACCGAAAAAGTATCGTTTACTCTTTATGTACCTCGGGTCATGCAGTCAATACTCTAGAGCCCCTTGTATGTCTTAATTGCAATGTGGATTTACTGCCACTAGATGCTATCCTTCCTCCATTTGTGAAGAGAACTGTCCTCCCTGAATAAACCTGGATCATCCATGGATGTACCGCCCAAAATACAAAACGGGCCCATCGCGATGGAAGCATCTTTGTAAACATGGAAACAACAAAAGCCTCCTCCACACCCCCCACCAAACAAACAAACAAAAAGCCACAAAACCCCCCAAATCAACTAAATCAATCCCCCCAAACCAATGCAAACTTCTCAAAATATTAAAAGAAGAAAAACTGTTGTATCCTGCCAGGTAGCTAGTTCTGGCCAGCAGCTAATAGCAAACATTGAAATGTGACTGTCTTAACTGTAAGAGCTACTGCCCAGAAATGTCCCAATACTGCACAGTCAGAGATAGTCAACTACACATTTATTGTCATAAAGCCTTGCCTGTGTATTAGAACATATTTAATATTTACCACCCTTTATGGGGGCTGTATGCCTTACAGAAGGCATTCAGTGGCAGCCTTTAATGTTACATGTACCAGTATTTCACTGTCTCCCACACAAAATAAGAATAAACCACTACGACTGTGTTACGCAACCCAGTGACTGACACATAAGTAGAAAATTGTTGATATATTTACCCATTGTAATACCCACAGATGAAGTCCAATCCTCCTCACTGAGACAAATGTTGCCAAATGAAAAGAGATGGGAAAAGGAGAAATTAGATGAACATATTGTGAAAAGAGGAAAAATCTGTTGACGAAAGAAGTCACAATAACTAAAGACTTGCAGACAGGCAAGGCATAAAACAGCAGTGAGATGCCCACAGAATATAATTTCTCTGAAGAGACGTAGCTTCAAAACAGTTATTTCAGTGCTGGGCATGTTTTTAAGCCCAGAAAATTACATCCATCTCAGAGACAAACACTGCAAGCTGGGTCTTTGCCCAGGACTGTTGAACAGGCTGTATGAACAGCATCTTGAGAAGGCTCCGTGCTCCCTTTTTGAAGGGGACCCTGGAGTCAGCTTCACATTGACAGAGAGAACACTACAGTGGGATGTACTGGTTTGTGCCCTTAAAAAGAGACCTGAGACATTGGGCCAAATAACTTATTGTGTCAGCTGAGTTCCTCCACACCCCTTTAATGTGCGTGGCTTTGGACATCATTGGGTGCTGCACAGGAGCACGGTGGGTCCTTGTCACCCGACCTCCCATGAGACAGTAGGCAGGCAGAGGTAAAGCTCTGAGGAGCCAGTGGCTGAAGGGGCAGCATAACTTACTCATCTCTGAAGCTTGTGAAAATATGCCCAGGAAGAATCCATGAAGCTCAGGTTTTATGAAGTCTGGTCTCAAATCTAACAAAGCTCAATACAAACAGAAAGTTCAAGTCTAATGAATATGTTAGAGTTTTTTTTTTTCCTTGATCTGCATTAATATTCACCTAATGCCAGAAAAATGAAATAATTTTAATAAAAGATGAACTAAAGATCCCATTTTTTAACATGGGAGCATTTGTTAAAACTCACCTGCTGGTAGGTACAAAATCTTTCACTGCAAATTCTGCTATGAATAAGCGCCTGCTCAGGCATTATATGATCTCATCCTCTGGGTGCACAGTTTAATCACAGTGCTCTCGATAGGGAGCCCACACTAGGGAAGTGGAGTTTAAAATACGAATCTGTAGGAGGCTCTTGAGGTGGCTTCTTGCTAAGTATGGCCAGGAGCAGGGTGATGTGGGGGGAGATGCCACATTAAGAGACCAGCTCCATAAAACTGTCACCAGCAAACCACCACGTGAAAATTTCATGTGCTTTTACTCTGGTGAATTGACCCTGAAATAGTATACAGAAAAAACCCAAATATTCTGTGTGTCACATTACTTCTCCTTTTTTTTTCCTCTATCAACAAACTCAGCTGTTTAAATGGGTAGCAAAACAACTTAATTCAAGATTACTTCATTTTCCCCTCATCTTTCAGAACTGTTTTAACCTCTCTTCTACTTCTCTCTCAAAAAAAAAAAAAAAAAAAAAAAAAAAAAAAAAAAAAAAAAAAAAAAAAAAAAAAAAAAAAAGAAAGAAAGAAAAAAGACACAAGCTCTTGTAACAAAATGTCAGCAAAGCATCAGATTAACCTACTTTGCCATTCCACTCCCACAAATGAAAATAGTTGGTGGTCAAAGTCCTGGTAACTGGATTTCCACCATGGAAAAAGTAGTGGTCCACATCTTTGTTACAATATTCTTAGTCTTGTTCAGATGAAACTCCTGTAAATTCCGAGTGACCACTCTCCCCAGACCATCTCATCTCCTTTCTTAGACCACAGTATCTCCCTGTTAGTTCTCCCAAGACACATTATTTTTTTACCACCCATTCCCTTTTCAAAACTTCTCTTTCTCAACTCCCTCTCTTCTTCCTCTTCTTCTCTTGGGCAAAGTTAACTTGCTTCTCGAGAACTAACTTGCCTTTCCTTCCTTTCTCACTTCTCAATTTTTGAAGGACTTCTAGCCCCTGCCTCTGCCTCTTTTGATTTCTACTTCACAGACAACTGTAGTGGGGCACTTGCAGTAGGGTAGTCCAGAGAGGGCTTCGTTCACCCCTACGAAAGGAGAGCACTGACCATTGCCTTCATACTCCTCAGACCTTCCTGTCCTCCGAGCTGTCCTCTCGAGGAAGAAAGCACACGTGAACTCCCACTGGAGAGAACTGAATGCATCAAGGCAGCAGCTCTTTACTATTGCTTGCAGAGAGACACAGAAGGGTAGATTAAATTCAAGCAAGAGCCTGAAACAAATGCTTTCTACCAATGCATGTTAAATAGGTGCTTATGTTTCACGCAGATCCTGATGTACCTAATTAATCCTAATTAAATCTGAGCTGTAAGGGCACCTAAATACACAAATATGCACGCAGACACGAGGAGCCTGGCTCTCACGGTGAAGTGTCGCTTGGCAGGCAGCTGGAGGGGACCCCATCCGCGCCGAGGTGTCCCTCGCCACCAGGGTCTTCCCCCGGCCGGCGGCGCATCCCTTGCACGGCGCTCCCGGCGCCTCCCGACGGTGCGATCCGTCGCGTCTCCCTCCGGGAGTGAGGATCGGCGGGGGCTTTACGGAGTCCTTCAGGGCGTCTAAAACCTGCGTAGGGATGGGGGTGTCTCGCAAACCCGGAACGGGCCGGGAGCCGCCTGAGGAGAGCCGGCAGCACCACAGGCTCGCGTTTTCTCCTGCGACAGCGACAGGAGGGAGGGGACACGGTTATCTCGCCGGGGCTCCCATTGACAGAGGGTTGGGACAAGCCTTAGGAAGATTAGCAGGGGTACAGCACAGCGCCTGCGGCAGAGCGGCAGCGTCCCGCCGCTCGTGCACTTCGGGGCAAACAGAGGGCTTTTTCTGCCTGCGGAAAACGAGACGTCCCGGAGAATCCGAGGAGCGAGCTGGAGGTTTGGGGGAGGCAGGACCCCAAGTTTTTATCCCCGCTGGACACTCACCGCGGTGCGCGCCCACGGCGACGGGAGCCCGGCGGGCGCGCACCGGGCGGGGAGAGGCTCCCCGCCGCAACCGGGGAAGGAGGACCGGGCGGGGGGGGAACGGGGGAGGAACGGGGGACGGACGACGACGGGGGACCCTGCGTCAGTGCAGGGCCGTCCCCTTCTCCTCCCCGTGCGCTCGGCTCTGCCTCCCGCCAGCCTCCCACGCCTCCCGCGAGGTGCGGCCGCGCTACATAAACACGGCTCTGCCGCCGGTGCCGGGGCTCTCCGTTCGCAGCCCGACGGAGGAGTTTGTCCGGCAGCGGGCAGAGGAGCGGCCGCGAGGAGCGCAGCGGCAGCGCGGCTCCGGCGCCGGACGGGGCGGGAGGCTCCGGCGGGCAGCCGCGGAGGGCTGCGCGCTCCCCCGAGGGCGGCGGCCCTGCCGTAGCCCAGGCGGCCGGAGGAAGAGGAGGAGGAAGGGCGTGGGCTCCGGCGGGCTCGCTCCGGTATGGCCCTGGCGGACAGCGCCCGCGGGCTGCCCAACGGCGGCGGCGTGTCGCCCGCGGCGGGGAGCGGGGCGCCGGGCAGCGGGGCGGCCGCAGCGGCGACGGGCGGCTGGTCTTCCTTCCCGGAGATCGTGGAGCTGAACGTGGGCGGGCAGGTGTACGTGACGCGGCGCTGCACCGTGGTCTCGGTCCGCGACTCGCTGCTCTGGCGCATGTTCTCGCAGCAGCAGCCCAGCGAGCTGCCCCGGGACAGCAAGGGTCGCTTCTTCCTCGACCGCGACGGCTTCCTCTTCCGCTACATCCTGGACTACCTGCGGGACCTGCAGCTGGTGCTGCCCGAGCACTTCCCCGAGCGCAGTCGCCTCCAGCGGGAGGCTGAGTACTTCCAGCTGCCCGACCTGGCTCGGCGCCTGGCGCAGACTCGGGCGGCCGCCGCCCGCCCCGCCGTCCTGCACCGCGACGGCTCCATCTGCGCCGAGGAGCCGCCGGCCCCGCTCCTCGGCTACCTGGAGGCCGAGCCGCTGGAAGGAGGCGGCGGGGCCGTGGCGTCCGCCCCGTCGCCCACCGCCAGCCGCAGCCCCTCGGGCGGACCGCTGCTCACGCCCTCGCAGTCGCTGGACGGGGCGGGCGGGCGGCGCTCGGGCTACATCACCATCGGCTACCGGGGCTCCTACACCATCGGGCGGGAGGCGCAGGCTGATGCCAAATTCCGGCGGGTGGCCCGCATCACTGTCTGCGGCAAGACGGCGCTGGCCAAAGAGGTGTTCGGGGAGACCTTGAACGAGAGCCGCGACCCCGACCGTCCTCCCGAGCGCTACACTGCCCGCTACTACCTCAAGTTCAACTTCCTCGAGCAAGCCTTCGACCGACTCTCCGAGGCCGGCTTCCGCATGGCCGCCTGCTCCTCCACTGGCACCTGCGCCTTCGGTCCCGAGCAGGGCGGTCCCGCCGATGACAAGATCTGGACCAGCTACACCGAGTATGTTTTCTGCCGGGACTGAGCATCAGCAGCCTGTGGCGTGGGGACAAGACAGCCGGCCCTGCACACCCTCGCACCTACGGTCCCCTCGCATCCTGAAGGAAGGAGGATGTGAAGCGGGGCTGTGTCTCCCTGTGCTTTTCTCACCCCGGTGTCTGCCTCCACGCACAAGGCGGGCCAGCCCCGGCGCAGCCCCCACCCCTCTTGCAGCACCTCCTGACGGCCCCGGGGCAGGAGGTCACTGTGTTGTGCCTCGGCTATCGTGTCCCTGCTTGGCCACCACGTCCCTGATCAGCCACCATATCCTGGCTCCCACCTTCACCCTCCCTCCTGCATCTCCCAGTAGCTGTGTTGGTAGCAAGGAAGGAGAGAAATGTTGGGAGTAGACAAATGCCAGTCCCACAAAAGCATGCATGTGCCCCCGGTTTTTATCCATCTCCGCACACAGAGCTGAGGTATAGCTCTGGCAGGGTGGGGCATTTAAAAAACCATCCAGTTAGGGGCTGAGAAACTTTAAAGTTGCTTTGAGCAACTTTTGTTAAAGATGGCATGACAAATGCCTGTCTTTTCCCATCCCAATACCCTTATGAGAGAGTTTGCCTTGGTGGGCAGACCCCAAATGGTCCATTTTTAACTCCTCCTTTTCCCACCCATCAAAGTGATGCCTGTCTGTGAAGGACTGTCACATAGAAAGGAAGCCTGACTGTGAGGGGTTTGCACTGGCTCATACTTTATCTGCTAAGATGAGTAATTTTGCAGGAGGCGTGCACGTGGCCCTTCACAACTGGTTGCTCCTATCTCCCCTCTTTGCTCCCCATGTCTCTGAACTCATCTCTGTTAAGCTGGACCAGGGCCTGCACAGAGAACATGTAAGGCTGATGTCAAAGGACAGATTTGACAACCATTTGAACTATGAAGTGTCCTCAGAGACATATGTTTATTCCTTTGAGAGGTAAAACAAAAACACTTTGAAAAATTAAAGTTCTTGTGATTTGTAACTTCCATGGGTGGTCTGAAGTCCTTATAATCCTCTTGAAGTTACTGTCTTTAATATGGACAGAAATCTCAATGCGTATTTCCTTAAACACACTCAAAACGATGGGAATGAGGTGAAGCTAGGCTTGCCTGAGTAAAGGTAGGGCTGGGTCCTGGGAAGCTGAAATAATGTACATTGAATTAGTGCAGATGTACATTATAACTGTCATCAAGAGCACCCTTGTTACTTTTTTCATGTTAGTCCCGTAAAACTCTGAAGCCAACAGATGACAAAAATCCCTTTTTAAAGAGTCATTTCCTTAGTTTTCATCGCAGTATTATCTGGGCATTGACACTGCTAAGAGCTGTGTACCTCTTCTCAGGCAAACTTAGTACTTCTTAGAAAGGATTGAGCCCTGTCCTCAGAAAAACAAGGATGATGCCAACTTTCTTCAGGGGAAATTACTTCTGAGCTGTATTTTGTTACTGCTGAATAACAGTCTTTCCCAGAGGAGGCAGTCAGAGTCTGCATTGGAACAGATGATCTGAACCACAGGTTTTATGGAGATTCAGCAGCTCTTTCTAACAAATTATTGATGTCTGGAATATAAAAGCACTTCCCTTTAAAAACCTAAACTTGATCTAAGAATGTGTGTAGCCTGTTCAGACCATCACAGAAAAATACCCTAAATTTATCTGAAGTGTTGAAGAATTTAGCAGTACATATTAAAGGCTTGAAGTTATGTTTTTAAAACTCTTGAACAATAATTCTACTTCTACCTAGTTCTAATTCTAATTCCAAATTTAGAAATACTGATAGCACCTGTATTCTAACCAAAGAATTTCACAGTAGGGCTTTTTTAAAAAACCCTAATTCCTTTGGAAAAGCTATAGCTACATTTCTGTAGAGTTTCAGTGCTCAGTCTCTCTTCACTTGGTCTTTCATTAAGTTCTTTCATTAAGTGCACCACTACATAAAACTAAAAATAATTTGTGTCACCACGGCTTCTTTTTGCTAATATTAGCGAGGTTGTTTATCAACGTGATTGAATTGAAGATGTGCATATGAAAGCACTGGATACTGTCTATTTGTAGGTAGTTGTATTATGGAGTATTTTTAAAAGGATAGAAATGTAAACCTGCCAAATCAGATGAGCAATAAGATACAGTGAGAGGCCAATACACCTGAGGATGGAATGAAGTCTGTTTGTCCTATGCCTTACTCTGAGATGACTTCTTTGTGCTTAACTTTTACCACAAGGGAAAAGACATTGATCACAGCTACTAGGTCTTTACAGTGCCCTTCTCGAGAGTAATGACTGTCTTTTTCTAGTTTCCGTTAAGTAACTCTGAAGTATGTTTTTTAAGATTTTGTATAAAATCAGTTTTCAGTAAGGTGTTCAAATTTGCTCTAGATAGCTTTCTTTTTTTAAGAATCTGGTAGCTTACTAAATCCATCATAGGAGCTATGAATAGGGGCAGTTTTAAATTGACCTTGTGGTTTAGTGTACATATATATAGAGTGTATTAACATTTTACACAAATCATTTAGTTTTTTTAATAATTTTTGTGTTACAGGATTTCATAATGTATCTACCTGAGCATTTTCACATTATGTTATGTATATAATATGGTAATGTTTTACTGCTTTCTTATACCTATTTCAATGGAAAAACTGAATATGAATATCATCAGCTTGTAGAACTGAAATTGATGACATATTTGCTTGAATGTGAATCTTCTAGGAGGCTGAATGCATCTCTAAAACAAAGATTGCCTGTCTTTTGATTAATAGTTGCCTATCCCTTTCCTGGCAGATGACCCAGTAATTCTCACTTTTTATGTAAAAATGGATGTAATATAAACAGGATTTTTTTTTTTAATCTTTGTGCTAAAAAATTTTAAGTGTTATTAGTGTAAAGAAATGGGCCTTTAATTTACTGATAACTCATTATCAGTATTGTCAGCAGGCTTAAAATGATGGTGCCATAAATGCTTTGCCACAGAAGATGATACTTTTCTGAACCATTACTTAGTAATGGCAGTAAGCTTTTTAAAAGGAAAAATGCTCAAGGCAAAGTCAATGAGTTTTACTTGTCTGTTCTATTGAGAGCTTGAAGAATGGATAAACACAATGACTGCTGACTTGTTGACATGAAAACATACAAAAATATAAAGGCACAATACTGGAGTCCTGTCTACATTTCGTAGCTGTTTCTTTCATAATTCATGTACTTATGGATGAATGCAGTAGCATTTACAAGTGCTATTAAAAATCCACAAGGGCAGTCTTTCTTTTAATTAGAAGTTAGGCATAGGTCTTTTCAGTGATGCATATCATGAAGGGTGATTTTGCATATGTTTGATAGGATGTTTATATTTTTATACATGTAGATAATGAGCCACTTACTCATTCTTATTTTCACATGTATAGCATTGAAAATAAAGATCCTCCTAGGATAAAGTTGCATACCAAATTAAATTTTTGTTCTTTAAATATTAACTCAGTTGTGTGGTTTATGCTGTCCTTTTTATTTTTTGTGCAGTTGTTGTTAGCTTTGTTCTCCCACTGTATCACATTCA